GCTCCTGCTCCAAACTTCACGCCCCCAACACACACACACGCTCACACACCCCCGCACCCCCCCGGCGGTGCGTCCCGGGCTCTGGCGGGGAGCCGGCGCTCCTGCCATGCCGCTCTGCGTCCCTTTAAACCCGCCTGGCTGACGAGGCACCCGCGATCCTTCTGGAAGAGCGCTGTGGATCTTCCCTTTCCCCGTCCAGTCACCATGGTTGCATCGCAAGTGCTCGATTCCACTTGACTAACTGCAGATATTTGGCGGTCTTCTTAAAGAAGGGAGGTTTCCTTGTTGCCAGAGTTCAGTCGTGGGATGCTGTAATCGCAGGGAAATGATTCGGTTCTTAGCACAGCTTTCACCTGTGGAAGTCTCTGCCCTGCAAAGTGTTTGTTGTTCTCTACAAACATGCATACTGTACAGAACAGAGGTGCAGAAAGGGGATCGTTGACGTGTTTTGCTTTACCTGTTAGAGAAGGGTTAAGTTTGACTTCGTGAGCTGTACAAGAGACTTGTGAACTGCTATCACCAATGATAATGTGGGGACTCTGGGATAAGGCGTAATGGTTTCAATTTAGCCGAGACATTAAATAGGATTCTTTACCAATTTTCTTATTGTAGCTTGGTATGTGCCATGTCTAGCTTCACTTGAGACCCTCCAAGAATTATGTAGGAAGGAAAATCTCAGATGTAAATCCATTGGAATCACCAACAGGAATCTAAAGAGTTATGAGGTGGAGTATTTGTGTGACTACAAGGTAGAAGAGGTAAGAGAAACACAGACCAATTTGATCACTCTTTCAGCTGAAATTTGGAAGCGAGCCAAAGGTAGTTTTGCTCATAATATAAAGTAGCAGGCTGTGAGGACAGAGCTCTTGCTGACGTCGAATGAAATATCTTTTAAACTTTGAACGGTAAACAGAAAGTGGTATAACTACTGCTTTTGGTATGTTGAAGGAAGGTCTTTTTCTGAAATTACGGAGATGCTAGAATATGAAATGTTCTCACCTGTGTGTATCTAGAAGTAAAGCAAAATGCTGATGCGTTTAGGTTGTAGCTTGGTATGTATTATGATGCTTCTCCTTTATTTGCAGGTAACAGTCTATATTTCTCTCTTGACTGTTGTAGTCCCTTTGATGAAGAGTTAGGGCCATGTACTGCAACTGGATTCCTACGGCTTGATCGGGCCAGCGAAATTCAGTCTCAGGATTTGGCCTTCTTACAACTATTTGGCCTTTTTAAAATAAGTAAAAATGTGTACTTCTTGATTATAAATACAATTTTACACGTTTTGAATGGATTACTCTTTTGTGAGGATGGTTGATACGACAAATAGTGGTTTTTAGAGATTTTTTCGGTAAGTTTAGAATTATTTATTTGTTATGTATGTGATACAACTAGTTAGTATAACTTACTTTAACAGCCTTAACAAACTAGCCTCCTCCAGGTATAATGTTAGCGATCAGAGTTCATCCCAGCTATTTATTTCTTTGCCCCTAGAGATGATATGTAAAGTACACGATGTTGTGCTGTAAGTTAATTTGCAAGCAGAAAACTAATTTTTCTCTTTCTCCCCAATTCTAATTGTTGTGGGGACATCAAGACCTTCTGCTCTATATGCCGTTGCTTAACTCCAGAGCTTTTTTGTGTTTGTCTGTGTACTCTGCAATGCTGGATTTCAGCGACATGTAATGTGGCTAAATCTGTATCTGTTTCTGTATTTCAAGGGCACAGAATACTATCTGGTGAAATGGAAAGGATGGCCAGAATCTTCAAATACTTGGGAACCTCAGAAAAATCTGAAATGCCCATTAATTCTTCAAAACTTTCTTACTGACAAGAATGAATACTTGTCTCGGGTGAGAGAAGGCAAAGCACTGAAAGTGAGAAACCACGTTAAAGCTTTGCAACCTGCGGTTGCAGATTACATTGTGAAGAAAGCTAAGCAAAGAATAGCTCTACAGAGATGGAAAGAAGAACTCAACAGGAAAAAGAATCATAAAGCAATGATTCTGGTAGAAAACACTGTGGATCTGGAAGGCCCTCCTTTAGACTTCTACTACATTAATGAGTATAAACCTGCTCCGGGAATAAATGTAATAAATGGAATAACAACAGGCTGTGAATGCGCTGACTGCCCTGCTGAGAAGTGCTGTCCAAAGGAGGCTGGATTTATTTTGGCTTATAATAAACGAAAGAAGTTGAAAATCCAGCCTGGCTTGCCCATCTATGAATGCAATTCATTTTGTAGGTGTGGGCCCGACTGCCCTAACAGGATAGTACAGAAAGGTACACCATATACTCTTTGCATCTTCCGAACTAACAATGGCCGTGGTTGGGGAGTAAAAACTCTCCAGAAAATTAAAACCAACAGTTTCGTGATGGAATATGTTGGAGAGGTATGTATTTATCTCATCTATATGAATTCTTTACAATAAAGGAAATGTTGGAGGTAAATCTTGATGAGCTTTCTCTTAGTTTTAACACTTCTTGACTTTTACTAAATAATAGATAAATCTACTTTTGAGTAGAAAAGTACGTTAAATAGACATTCAATATGGCAGCAAAATTATATTGTCTAGAATGTTCCTCTATTCCAATGCAATTGTAAAAGGTTGAATGTAAAGAGAAAACTTATCCCATATGTTGCAAAGAATTATTTTAGATATGTGCCCTAGTAGTATTTCTAAAGGCAAGTCCTTCTTTTCTTTCATGGCAGTCCTATTCTTTATTTTTCTCTCATCATCTTTATTACTGTAGTTTTTGCTGTTCCCCAAGCACAGTTGTTACCAAACTCCCCACCCAGTTTGTCAGTCCTTTTTCTGTTTTGTCTGAACTTTTAAGGTAGGATTTCCAAACGTATTATTTTTTATTAACATCAAGAATAAGACTTGGAGTATGGATGTTACCTGTTTACTAGATCTCATAGTACTTCAAACAGAACTTTCATGTTACAAAATACAGAACTTGAGTTACTCTTGAGATTTTGTCCTGCCCTGTGTTTATGTGGTTCAACCTCTGCTCTGCTTCAGGGCTCGTTACATCAGTAGCTCCTGGCAGCCTCTCTGATCAAGTATTTCTGCTACAAATCTGCCTTGCTATGAAGTTGACTCAAAATAATTCCTTCTGTCCCTTCGTACAGATGTTTATGGTTTTGTTGTGTTTCCTCCATCCTTCCTGCCCCAAATCTTCTAACTTTTCAGGTTCATACCTTTCTTGTCAGTTGTTCAGAATCCCTCTGTTGAGAGGTTAACGCGGAGCGATGATGATGCAATTTTGTTGCTTGAAGGAAAGAGT